TTGCTATCTAGATACTCAAACACTGGCCGTTCTTTGTAAGCCACAGGATAAACATGGGGAAGGAGGACCAGAAGAAGCCCCTTACCAGTGACAAGACCCCTGTCCCTACTGCTCCCTCTACTGCTCCACCCCGTTCCACCTTCTGAGCCACCCCAATATTCGGAACCTTCTAATGGATGTTTCCCCCTTCAATAGGCAGTGGTAGGAAGAGGGCGAGTCTACGTCCCCTTCTAGTTATCAGATCTAAGGGAGATTATAAAGGACTTGGGTAGCTATACTGACACCCCAGATCAATATATCAGGGCCTTTATTTCTGTGATCCAAACCTTTGAATTGGAATGGAAGGATATCATGCTTCTCCTGGACCAGACTCTTTCCTCTTTAGGGCTGAAAAGGGCTAAAGTTAAACCTCTAAACTATTCCCAGGTGACTGTCCCCCAGTAACTCCCCCTTACCTTTCTGCAGTGTCTTAAGAACACCATCCTAAAACACACCACAGTGGACCCAGAGTCACAGGTGGGAGAGGTTCTCCTCAAGGATAAATTTCCAAAAAAAACCTCCAAAAGTCTGTGGCTAAAGAAAACAGTCATTGGCCAACTAATATAACTAGCCATGCCTGTATACTATAACTGGGACCCCAGTAAAATGAGGAAAAAAAGGACTAAAAACCACCATGACCTAATTGCAGCTCTCAGGGAGTGCCCCACCTGACAGGGCCCTACATCCTGAGTTTGCTACCATTGTGGACAGGAAGGGCACTTCTGCAGAGAATGCCCAAAAGGAGGACAGCCTAGGTGACAGCCCCAGCCCCCACCGGGAGCCTGCCCCTCTGCAAAGGTAACCACTGGAGGTCTAAGTGCCCTTGTTCTCCAGGTGAAAGGTGGGGTGCTACCTCCTATGGATTGATAGGCTCCAGTGCCTCCTGTCTAGACTCCTCTTCTTAACATCAATGCTGAGGAGCCTCTGTTAACCATAATAGTAGAGAAATGAAAGGTCATCTTCCTCCTAGACAGTGGAGCCTGTTTCTCTGTTTTACCTTTCTCTCCTGGTCCCCCGTCCAATAACAAGGTTATCGTTCAGGGCATATCTGGCCAGCCCCTAGAGCACTATTTTACTCAGCCTCTGGCCTGCTCTTGGGGACACCTCCACTTCTGTCACTCTTTTCTCATAGTCCCTGAGACTCCAGTGCCCCTGCTGGGATGGGATTTACTATCTCAGCTAAAGGCTCAAATTCTACTCCCCCGTGGGACTATCTCTGCTGCCCCTTCTTCAGGAACAAGCAGATCCCACAGTAAGGACTGATGGAATGACTGTAGAGCAAACAAAAACAGCACTCCCAATTCAAATAAGACTTAAAGTTTCCACATCAAAAACAGTATCCTCTAAAGCCTGAGGGATGATGAGGCCTCTTACCTATCATAAATTCCTTAAAAATGAAACAAGGGCTACTAATCAGTTGCTCCAGGCCCTACAATTCTCCCTATTCTTGCTGTCCAAAAAGGACCAGATAAATGGAGACTTGTTCAAGATCTCTGACTCATCAATAAGACAGTCATTCTCCTCCACCCAATTGTTCCCAATCCTATACTCTATTGGCTCAAATACCCTCAAAAGACCAATATTACTCTGTACTAGACTTAAAGGACGCTTTCTTTTACATTCCTCTACATCCTGACAGTCAGCCTCTGTTTGCCTTTAAAAACCCCACTAACTCCTCACAATAGCTAGCTAGCCAATTTGTGGTCCTTCTGGAACAACATATGGAGCTAGACTCCTTGGGCACTACATCTGGATGGCCCTTTTTATGCTCCTTCTAATATTCCTATTTGGGTCTTTTATAATAAATGCTCTCTCCAGAGTCTTATCTCAACAGGTCCAACAGACCAAATTCCAGCTCTTAGTCAAGGATTACTCACCTCTGCCTACGCATGAGCCCTCCATCTAATTCCATTGGTGGCCTCTGGAGACTACACGGGTCAACCCCTAAGACAAGTACTACCACACCTACCCCCTATTGCCCCATAGTTAGCAAGCAGCAGCTAGATGAGTTATTGCCTCTCTCCCCAACACAGTTGGGTACTTGTCTCGGGGCAGGGGAACTTGTTGGGTCTGGGAACCTAAGGGACAGTTGAATAAGTCAGTATCCCATCCCCCATGGAGAGCACTATGGCCCTGCACCCTGAGAAGGAGATACATGGCCTCATAAATCTGCCATGAGGTTGACAGATAGGATGCTTTCAAGGTTGTTTCCCCCAGTAAGGGGCTCATTGAGCAGAGCCCGTGTGCGTGAATCCATGGCCAATGGAAAGAACCCACCTAACCCTTACCCTAACCCAGAGTTAAAGTGTCCATGAAAAGCCCCAGCCTTTACCTCGGCAGGAAGCTACCTATTTTCCGATCTCCCTGTCTGTTTCTAGAGGCAGCTTTTCCTTTCTCTCTAACAAATCCTACTTTGTATGCTGACCTTGCTGTCTCACAAGTAAATCTGTTGCCTCATGAACCAATTCTTTGGCCTGTGGAGGCAAGAACTCTTGATACCGGCCCGCAACAGTACAAGGGTGTGGGTGGACCAAAGGTTACACTGGTTCTTTACCTTTCCTTTGGGCTTACAGATTCTACACTTAGGCCTCTTCATTATGATGCAGTCTAGATTCCTCTCAAACTTGAATATTAGTGTCTTTGTATTCTGGAGATCAACAATTTCCCCCTGAAAATCAATAGGTAAATGGAAGTTCTTACATAACAGTCAAGATGCCCCAGGTAGAATCTAGGCAAGACTGGCCCAGACACACTGGGGTTAATGCCTGAAATTTGACTTGGGCTATAAAACTGAGGGGATGCAACACCCACACTATGTCAGTGCTTGGGCAGGAGTTTGACTGGGTAAATCTACCTTTCTCCTCTTCTCCCTCTCTACCCTTCTCTTTGCCCTTCTGCCACAGGATGGCTCAGCTCTTATGCCCTCTCCAGCTGCAGTACCTCAACTACAGAAAATTTTTTCCTTTTCATTTCTAACCCAACCCCTTTCAGGAGCCTGAAGCCGGTGGGGGTGGGGGCGGTGGCTAAAGTAGTAAATGGGGGATTTGTGATATAACTCAAGGCAGACACAGGAGACCAATCCTTAGGTGCAAGGGTGAGTCATGCTAGCAGGAGGTGAACTTCCCTTGATATTTTCCAGTTAATTTACCTTGAGTGGGGTCAGGCCACAGGACACTAGGCTCTGAACCTTTGGGGCAGGATGGGAGAAAAGAGGAGACTGGGAAGTGAGTATAACAGTGCTTAGGAGATGGACCAGAAAAGGAGATGAGAGAAAGAGCTGAGGAAGAGGAAGTTAAGGGGGCACTGGGGTCACCACAAACAATGCCAGGAGTCCTCAGAGCTCAGGGACATTGCCACCCATAGGTTTTGAAGGGAATGGGATTAACATCTGAACCTCAAGTAAGGCTTTCACATGATTTTGAATAAACAAGCAATGCCTCTTTGTTGTGGTCTACTGTATCTTCCTTTCTGGAATTACTGATAGTTTCATTGATTCAACAAGTATTTCTTGAGAGTTAGCCCTGTCTCACACACTGCATGTCTCTACTCTGCAGGAGCTCATGGTTCAGTGGAGGAAGCAGGAATGTAACTACTCAGTGGCAGACGATGAAAGTGCTAAGGTTTCCAAAGAAGGCTTTAGATGGGAACCTTTGAGGTGCTTTTGAAAAGTGATGGCATTTCCCTGGCATGAGTGACCAGCCCATTTTAGGAATAGCAAGAAGGCTGGTGTGGCAGGCAGTACCTCAGTTCTGTGACAGAAGATGGGGCTGGTGAGGTGGGCAAGGCTGGACTGGGAAGGATTTACCTGACAAGCATCTGTTAGAGACTGCTATGGTCTGAATGTGTCCCCAGAGTTAATGTGCTGGAGATTTAGAAATGCATCAGTGATGGGAGGTGATTAGGCCATGAGGACACTGCGCTTCTGAATGGACTAATGCTGTAACTGTGGCAGTGAGTTCATTCTTGCGGGAGGGAGTTCCTCAAAAAGGGTGAGTTTGGTCCCTGTTTCTTCCTCTCTCACCCTCTTTTTGCCCTTCTACCATGGGATAATGCAACTCAGTCCTTCAATCTGGAGGTCTTCTAGCCTCCAGAACTGTGACTCAATGAATCTTTGACTCAGTCTGCAGTGTTCTGCTATAGCAGCATAAAATGGACTCAGAGGCAGAGTCTCACACATGTTTTAAAGGTGTCCTCACACATCTCCATAATATCCCAAGTGTGTACCATGTCAGCACCCAAAATCCACCTCCCAAACAGTCTCACACTCCAGCTACAGCACTTCTGAAGACCAGGTGTTATGATGTTGGATCTGGATTTTTTTCATTTATTATTTAATTGACAAATAAAAATTGTATGTATTTATGGTGTATAATAGGATGTTTTGAAACATTTGTGAAAACATTTAGAATGTACTCTCTTGATTTCAAATGTATTATTAACAATTAACACTGATAGTCAGCACATCACATAACAGATCTCTGAACTCCTTGTCTAACTAAAATTTTGTATTCTTTAAGCAACATCTCCCCTAAAATTCCTTCCAACTTGGTTGGTGTGTCTAGTAGGATGATTTTTGTTTTTAAAAAAAACCTTCAGTAACTAGGATTTTCATAGACACGCAGATCCAAATAAACAAAAATCAATAGGCAAATAGAAACAACCACAAAAGAGAGACCTAGTTTTAAACACGAGACACATTAGACCACAAATGACATTAGCAAACTTTTTTGCTAATATTATTCAAAGCAAATGGCCTGACATAATATTTACTCTTTAATCTTATAGTGAGTTTGAAATTTCACTTGAGTAAGACTTTAAGATAGAAGAGCACATTATACACAATATCTCTTTCAAAAGACAGAAGATACCACAATACCCTAGAGAAAAGTACTGTGCTTTATAAAGGCTAAGAGTTCAATAAAGCACTTCTGAGTTACTTTTTAAAAACACATTATTCATACCTGAGCCTCTTTTTAACCTTCTTCTGGCCAGTTTAATTTGATCCTGTAGAATCTGTACCCAGTCTCTTGGGCCAGGAAGTTTATCCACATGGTTAGCAGTACAGTACTTTTCTGTGAAGACTGTAAGAAAATGTGAAATACTGTTAAATACTTTAACAAAATGTGCAGATCTGAATGAGGAATACAGTCCAAGAAGCAAACAAGTCCATTTTAATTTTTTCTTTTTGGTGCTGGAGATGGAACCCAGAACATGCACTGGTGGAGCATGCTAAGCCCGTGCTCCACCAGTAAGCTGGCTACTTGGCCCAAAGTGAACTTCTAAAGAAAGTCAGTTCTGCAGTGCATATCTTCCCTATCTGTGCTATACTCCTGGTAGAGATGGTGATCAGATAGGCCCTGGCCACATATGATGGACTGTGCTTCAAAATGAAACTGGCAGAAATAAGAAATACAAACTTGTTCTCATGGAAACTGCTCTCTCCCTCTCTCTCTCTCTTTTTTTTTTAAACTTGCTTGTATCTGTGTTTGTCTTATAGGCAGAAAAGGAAACACTTCGTATGGATTCAGCAGCCCCAACCATAACAAAGTTCAATGAATATATTAATACTGTTTTTGTTAATTAAAAATCAAATGCAGAATTACACAAAAAGATGATGTTCTTATAGTGATTCCCAAGAACTCAAAACAAATAATAAAGCAGAGTCTTAGTGAAATACTAATACAATCTAGATAGAAATTCTGATTCTACTTCAAGTATTACTAGCTCTGAGAAAAGACCCTATTTAAGCACAAAGAAACTATGGAGAATCACAGGGCAGGACAAATGGGAGGGAGGGGACGACCTCAGGAAAGCTGTGTACAGTGTGTGACTGTGCACAAGGTGCTGGCGCTGACATTTCTGCCTCTTGCTCCACTCCTGAGCACTTCTAGACTTGCCTTTTCAACTTGCTCTTCATAAGGTCAACAGCTAGTCTGCAGTCATATCACACTGCTGTCTTGGTATTTAAAATATTGGTAATTTTAATGTTCTAAAAGGTTTCTTTTAGAAAGAAATGACAAAGAAAAATATTGACAGATTCAACTATATGAAAACTGAAATCTGCATTGAATGAAAAGGAACAGTTCAGTAGAATAACAAAAGCTGGCTGCACTAAGTATGACTGAGAATGTTCAATGCCTCCCACCATATGAAGAATATATTCAAATAAAGGAGCACATTCCAAAGTCCCCACAGATAAATGGATAGAATATATCTGCCATACAACACACCAGGAAAATGTTCAACCAATATGTACATCAAATAACTGTAAAATATACTTTATCTCAACTAAATTAGAAAAATGTTAAAAAAGCTTATATTTGATCATGATAAAATTGGGGAGACCTGGCACATTCAATTGTTACTGCTGGTATAAATTGGCAAAATCCTTTTGGGAAATAAGAGTAATATCTGATGAGAGACAGAAAACTGTTACACCTTTGGACATTAATATTACTTCTAGAAATGTATCCTAAGACATCATATGAAATAAGGAAAAAGCCATACATGTGCTCTTAAATTAAGCAATCTAATTGTTCAGGAAGAAATAAAGGTAGCCATGGCAGGGGGGCTGATTGTGGGGAAAGGCCAGAGTGGAAGTTGGGGGAATCCCACCAGGAAGCTGCAATTATTACCACCCACACTAGTCAAGTATCTGGGCAGAAAACAGGCTTTTTTTTTTTTTTTGGTGGACCATAGGATATGGTAAATACAGAATAAAGGGGAAATTTGTGAGGTAAAAGGTGGACTATCCTAGGTCTGACATGGGGTATTTGTGAAGCACCCACATGGAGATGGCCAGAGAGATTTCAACAGAGAAGTACAGAGAAAGGGGCCAGGCTGGAGACTGGTATAGGAGGCACAAACATACAGCTGTCTCTTGGTGTCCGTGGGTATTGGTTCCAGGACCCTGGGGGATATCAAAATCTTCAGATTCAGATGCTCACCTATCCTACATAAAATAGTGCAGTATTTGCATATAACCTATGAACATCCTATATATACTTTAAGTCATATGTAGATTATGTGTAATACCTAGTACAATGTAAATACAAAAGTTACTGCTATATTGCACTGTTTAGGGAATAATAACAAGAAAAAGCCTGTACATGTTTGGTATAGATACATTTTTTTGGTTGTTGTTGATGACTGAACCCAGAGTCTTTCACCTGCTAAGCATCTGTTTTACCACTGAGCTGTACCCCCAGACCCATATTGTATGGTATTTGGTAGGACTTTTTTTCCTGTAGTTCTGGGATTTTCCCTAACATTTTTACTTTCTGGTTGGATGAATCTGTGGCTACAGAACTCACTGTCGTAGAGGGCTGACTACCTATGTGGCAGTCAAAACAATGAGGAAAAAAAAATCATTAACCAGAGAGAACATACAGGTGAAAGAGCACTTGGCAGAGCATTTGACTATGGAGAACACCAGTGGTCAGGTGGAGAAAATGGAGGAAGAGAAGCCAACTAAGGAGGTCAGGGGTGACTGGCTATACAGCCAACAGGCCCAGAAGGTACAGTCTTCTCAAGAGCAACAAGTGGTTCTAAAAAGAGGTGGAACCAACAGCTTCAAGTACAGAACAGGGGCAGACAAGGAGGTTTACAAGTGTCTACTGAGGGCCATTGAGGGAGTGGGGAGAGTGGTCACATACAACACTCTTGAAATACCTGGATCAAAGGGGAGAAGAGGAGAGGAAGGTTGAGGATAGGTGATCTGAGCATCCTGAGGGAACAGCCAGGATGGCAGGAGAATACAGTTATGAGAGAAAGTAGGGGACGATTCAAGCAACTATCCTGGAGGAACTGGGGGTGCTGGGATCTGAATAGAAATGTAGGGGCTACCCTTGAACAGAAGAGAAGGCGGAGGGAGGGGTACCAGAGATTTATTTAAAAGTGGCTCTAGGCTGGAGGTTCTAGTCTCCTCAGATCCAATGAACTGCAGAGGATGCAGTATATGGGAATGTTTGGAATTGTCTCTGAGAAGGATAGAAAAGCAGCAGACTGAGTAACAGTAAGGCTGCCAAGCAGTAGATGGTGTTAACATTCTACATGGGCAGGCTGTTATTGCCTCCCTTGGCTCCTTGTAGCTTTTTAGGACATGGTTGGCCTGGGCTCAGGATTTTGCTGGACAGTTTCAGCCTATCAGGAACATGAAGCACCGAAGATGTTGGTGTTTAAGATGTCACCTGGAGTGAATCACTTCACTTTTCAATCCTTTCCTACCTTCCGTTCAATCTAGGAAGAAAGTAATGTCAGAAAAAAGCTCCCAGACTTGGAAATATCTACAGAGATCAGGAAATGGAGACAGTAATGGGTTGGCAAGCAGGCCATGGAGCCAGCAGAAGACAGATAGACAAACAGTCCCATGGAGGCGCTGGAATATAAAGCAGAAGTGGCAGAGCAGCTATGTCTAACAGTGGGGGGTGGAAGGCACAACAGATGACATCCTGACATCATGTGGCCAGAGGGTCAGATGGATCTTTGTGTAGGTAGTTGAGTCATCTACAATGTCAACACATTCTGGGAGGGAGAGGAAGACATACAGCTATGAGAAGAGCCTTAATGGAAAAGTTCTATCACAATCTGACCTGAGTAGAGGAAGGGTGGTAGTTAGGAAGCAAAATTGAGTGGGCAAATACCCACCAGGTTGCCTCTAAAGGTTAGGTTACATAGGGCATAGGAAAGCAAGCAGCTCCCACCTACCAGTGATGCAGAAGAAATTCAGTCAACTTTATCTGATGATTATTACATATGGTTTCTACGAAGCATGGTCCAAAAATAATTAAAAAAATAAATTTCAAGAGCAAAATTTTAAATTCCCACACATGCATTCTGTAGCTCAACTGATGTGAGAAACTCTCAGTCAGTCCTACATCATTGTCAGTTGTGTTTAAATTGTTGTGTGACTTGCCAAGTGTTTCCCTGCCCTTAATTTTGTAAAAATATGTCTCCCAAAAAAGCAAATATGCCCAAAGTAAGGCAAAAGTAAACATGCTTAATTTAAGTGATAAAGTGAAATTTTTAGATGTGTTGAAAGGTGGCATGACTTTAGGGGAAGTTGGGCATCGTTGTGGGAAAAAATGAATGAAACATCCACAGTATGGCAATAAGCGCTATGCACCGAGCATGTGCAGTTTTCCCTTAATGGTGGCCTCTTTGGAACTGCAGCTATCAAGCGTCTACTGTATATCTCTGGGGCACAGCTGTACTCTTAAATCTCCTACACCAGGCTCTTCATTTCTTGTCTTCCTAAAAGCACCTGGCACAGTGCTTTGCACTGAATAGAACTCAAGAAATGTGATGTGAGGAATAAACAAACTATTTCCCAGTTTTGTTTCTAATGGAAGCAAATACAGTAGCTCATAAAACTTAAGACTAATTGAGGAAGAATGGCCCATCTGAATTAGTAAGAAGTCTTAATAGAATATAGTTTAAGAAGCAAGGTTTCATTACATTCAAATGCCCACAATAATATTTAGTAATTGGAAAATTTTCAAAAGGTTCCTAAGTTCTATTTTGATAAATAAAAACTTCATATTTAGCACTCTATTTACTATATGACTATGTATACTACAAAAAATGACCGAACACACTGGCTTAGCAGGTAAACATCCTCCCGCGGTAATATTATTTATATAATGAATTTCCATAGCAACCTCTTCTCTTAGACTGTGAAGTGCTTGTATCCAAATGATCGCACATTAGAAAGAAGTGGTTCCAAAATAACAAAGTGGACTTGGTCTGTGCCAACATCCATAATTCCAAACATGGGTGTCGACAGCCATGTTTGGATAACCAGAGGGAAGGCTGTGGAATATTTTCTCCTAGTCCATGAGGGGCTTCAGATCAGACATTTATAATTTAACTTTATGCTCAAGGATTCTGTCACTCGCTAAAAAGGCAACAGTTTCTGCCTATCTCTTCTCCTTCAGTTAAAACTTAAATCTGGTTTCAGTGGACAGAAGCCAGGAAAAGCACTATCTCCTGGGTCTGTGACTGAGACCTTTGAAGGTACAGCACTAGGCTTCTTAAAAAATACCTACACAAAAAAATATTTCCATTGGGCACATTACTGACA